GCCTCTGTGGAAGAGGCTCTCCTGCAAACCCCGCTCAGGCCAAAGGGTGCTTTGGTGCATCTCATGGTGCAAGGATGATCCCCTTGCTGCAGGTTATGGTCTTCCAGTGAGAAGCCCTGGCACTGGCAGCAGAGTGCCCTTATGCTCTGCAGTGCAGAGGTCTGAACATAGCCACAGAAATCAGGCACACGTTTCTCTTCTTACTCACTGATGTTTAACACCAGGGCAGGAAATGCTACCCTTGCAGAAGTCCTCCATCCAAGCCTTTGAGAGCGGGTCCATATGGCAGCGTGCACGTGTGCTACACGTGGTGCCAGGTACCACATGTGTGGTAAGAAGACACAGTTTTAACTGTGTTCTCTCATGAGGAATAACAAGAGTGAGGATTTATCATGCATTATATCACACAGCAGTAGCAGAAAATGGGCATTCAAGTTTACTGTCACTGGCTTTTCCCCTCCTGGCTACAGAAACTGGTGTTACAACCGAAGATATTCAGAGCAGATTGCTCCCATATCATGTGTATCACTAAGTCTAGTTAAGAGATGTGCTGAAAAACCTATCAGGAATATCCTTGGACATGAGGCAATCTCATGTCTGTGTTTCTTTTACTTCAAGTAACAGGCTATTCCCATCTTTGATCAAAGATCTTGGCTAACACCACCTCAGGCTGATGGACCTGATGAGTATTCCAGATTTCTTTCTCTCAGACACTGGCTCTGATAAGTCTTTGGCTCTGTGGCCACAAATGCCAGCCAGGCACGCTCCTGATATCTTGTAGGTCTGCAAAATGCAGGTGTTCTGCAGCAGGGCAGAGCAAGGAGCTGTTACCCCGGGCTGTAGGACATCATAATAAAAAACAGTGAGAAAACTGAGCTATCTGCTGAACCTTGTCTGGAGACTGAGCTGAGCTCTTAGGCAGAAGCTCTTCCCTGTGAGGGTGCTGAGGCGCTGGCACAGGGTGCCCAGAGAAGCTGTGGCTGCCCCATCCCTGGCAGTGCTCAAGGCCAGGTTGGACACAGGGGCTTGGAGCAAGCTGCTCCAGTGGAAGGGGTCCCTGCCCATGGCAGGGGTTGGAGCTGGAGGAGCTTTAAGGGCCCTTCCAACACAAACCAGGCTGGGATTCTGATTCTATCAATATCCCTTTTTGAGCAGGATGTGCATGCAATGTAGCAGAAATGTGCTTACATATACTTACGCATATATATTTCACATAAAACGATTTAAGTTATCCCACACAGCCATGGGAAATGTCTCGAAATAAAACAAACCTTTCAAAGATGAAATACTCTGCAGACAAATATGAAAGATTAAATGGAGCATCTCTATATTCCCTAAGAAGAGTATGTATTTCTCATATTTACTCAAAGCTTTCTTATGTGAGCTGGATGCAAAACTTCTGGGGACATGAGGGTTTAAAAATGACTTAATTTTAAGGTTTTCAACTGTGTACGTGAGTTGTATGAAATACTTGGGGGTTAGAGCACTATAAAACGCCATGTATATTTCGCAGCATAAATTAGATTAGCAGCTGAGTATAAAATCCCTATAAATACAGGGGTTACAAAAACTGCTCATGGGCATTTTTGCAAATCATTCCAATAGGAATTAGTGGGGGAGCTCCACCAAGTTTTCACCCAGCAGCCACAATGCCTTTGAGATGCAGGATGTGCTGTGCTGTCACCATGTCCCGCAGCACCCAAAGGCGGCTGATGCCAGCCCCTGATGAACACACGGAATCCCAGACTGGTTTGGGCTGGAAGGGACCCTAGAGATCACCTGTTTCCAGTCCCCTGCCTTGCCCTGCAGATGTGGCTCCTGCTGGTATCTCCTGGCTGGTGGGGTGGCTGCTTGCCAGACCCAGGAGCTGATGCTGCTGTTGCTGCAGCAGAAATATGCTGAGTGTGTGAACCTGTCACTTGTCGGCACAGAGCAGCGGCCGTGCTGACCCAGCACAGGCTGAACACTGAGGATGCTTTAAGTCCCTTCCTACCCGAACCGTTCTATGACTCCCATGGCAAAGCGAGTGGCAGGAGTACAGCTGCAATCCAGGAATTGCTAAGGAAATGAAAACTGGAAGGCAAGAAACTGCATTGTCCTCTGATGCCCGAGGGGAGACTGAGCTGAGCTCTTAGGCAGAAGCTCTTCCCTGTGAGGGTGCTGAGGCGCTGGCACAGGGTGCCCAGAGAAGCTGTGGCTGCCCCATCCCTGGCAGTGCTCAAGGCCAGGTTGGACAGAGGGGCTTGGAGCAAGCTGCTCCAGTGGAAGGGGTCCCTGCCCGTGGCAGGGGCTGGAGCTGGATGGGCTTTGAGGTCCCTTCCAGCCAAAATCAGTCTGGGATTCTGTATTTTGTATATAGCAACACAAATATTTGAAGCAGAGAATGTTTGGTTTCAGCTTAGCTCCAAACCACAAACGAGTGGTTTTTTTCATGAAATTCCATGTACTTGTAGATATTTTGTAGATTTTTGTTCCCTTTTCCAAATTGATGCTGGGCATTGGGCTAGGATGCATCATAAATCAGTCCCAGGACTCGTATACAGTATTTCAGTGCATAGCACATACCCAGGGAACTGCTGACACTGGAGAGCATTACAACCTCAGAATTTAATAGTCATTTTTAACATGGCACACAGGAGAACTTTGCATTGATCTCTCTCTCTTGGTGTTACAAAGACAGCAGAAGTCTTGCTGGGAGCTCTCCCTGCAGGCAGGGGCTTCGTGTCCTTCACTGCTGTTCAAAGCAATAGCAAATAACATTGCCCTGGAAACTGATCCATCCTGGTCAAAGTGGAGCAGGATGAGGGCCATGATGTCCTTTCCAACCCTAACTATTCTATGATTCTATGATGTGCACAGGAACAGTTGGTCTGCTTGTGGAAAGGTTTTTTCTGCAATTTATTACTATCACCAACACAGAAAAGGAAAAATCCCCCATTCTCATGCAGTATCTCCAATCCCATACATTGTTTCATTGCATTTTATGAATGTTCACTTCAATTCACAATCATTTTCCCATTTCAGGCTTATCTTTCTTCTTTACCTAACCAGTGCTTGCTGGGGCTCTCTCCCGTGACAGGCATGGTATAGTGTGCTTATTAATGTATGAAATTTATCTCCAAGTGATGCACTGGTATAATTGATGTTTTGAACCTTGCACACATTAAAACACTCATCCACAAACAGATAGGCAATTGCAATTCAGTGCTGTGATGGACAAGGACGTAATACTTCTCCTTAGCTTTCACTGCCCAGTTCAGATCTTTGTCATTGCTCTGTAAGGTGCAAAGTGATTAACAGGCAATTAAAAGCCTGTCTGCCTGGGAGAACACTTTCAGCAAGCGGTGTTAACCTTTGGGCCTATAATTTCCAGTGTCTGTAGCTGTGAGTGCTCTGAGGGATTGCTTTAAGATAAAAACGATATTTAAAATTTGGGGTCTATGTGGTGAACGCTTTGTGAGCAGTCTAAAACAATTGGTTTGCTCCTTACCTAGAGTGCACTGCTCAGAAGACATGGAAAGATGGGCTCTGAACCAGGCAGTGGATATAAGCTCCAGGGAGACCTGAGGGCAGCTCCAGTGCCTAAAGGGGCTGCAGGAAAGCTGGAGAGGGGCTTGGGACAAGGGCCTGTAGGGACAGGCCAAGGGGAATGGCTTGAACCTGCCCAAGGGGAGACTGAGCTGAGCTCTTAGGCAGAAGCTCTTCCCTGTGAGGGTGCTGAGACGCTGGCACAGGGTGCCCAGAGAAGCTGTGGCTGCCCCATCCCTGGCAGTGCTCAAGGCCAGGTTGGACACAGGGGCTTGGAGCAAGCTGCTCCAGTGGAAGGGGTCCCTGCCCGTGGCAGGGGCTGGAGCTGGAGGAGCTTTAAGCTCCCTTCCAACCCAAACCAGGCTGGGATTCTGTGATCTCAGAGTTCTCCCTGCCAGGCAGGAATCCCAGCAGGGAACAGCTGGGAGGTACTGGGATCTGGGAAAAGACAGACATTGCTGTGTTTGCTGTCTCCATGTCCAGTGGAGATAAATTAGCTCATGAATGATATAATTGTTCTTGCTCTCTAAAACAACAAACGTTTCCAGTTGCAGTGCACTGAGCAGTTACATACACAAATACCTCAGTCTGGTCTTCGTGTTATTTTACATCAGACAGACCGGTTTTCACAGGGCTCACACTCACTGTCCTTATTGCTGTCTAAGAAAGCAGACACTTGAGGACCTTATTCCTTGGGTTTGGGTCTTTTGGGAAAGGAGAATTACTGCTTTTTATTTTACTTTTAATTTGCTTATATTTATATACATTATCTAAATATGAAAAATTCTTTTAATTAATACTGTGAAATATGTATTGGCACAAAACATAAGCACTGGGTGGTGTGCTGAGCAAGCCTGCCAGGGCCGTGTCCCTGGATGCAGGATCTCCCACCCTCGTACACCCACCACCACCCATTAGATGTGTTCTGCCCCAGTCCCCATCAGCAGCCCACAGGGTAAGGGTCCCCAGCTCATGGGGTTTGCCACCATTCATCTCCACCTGATTGATGCTACAGTGGTCGTTGGGAAGCAAGGGCACCTGATGCTGGGCCACCACCTGCTCCTGCTGGTGCCTTCAGCCTGCCCCAAGCACTGGCTTTGCTGCAGGGTGCTGCAGGGGCAGGTCTTTGCCCAGGTGCAGACCATGAGCCCTGATGGTGCTGAAACTCTTAAGGCCAGGATTTGGCTGAGGTCCACCCCTTATGTTCTGTGAAGCCCATCAGGGCAGAGCTGCAAATAGCTCTCATGGGTGTGGAGGCTGAGGGGCTGAGCTTGAGGCAGGGCTGGGAGAGGGCTCTTGGTCAGCTGTATAAGCTTGAAGGGGTTTTCAGCCCACCTTAGGGCAGCTTCCCCCTGGACGTGTGCTATCAGCAGCACTCACCAAACCCCCTGATGCTGCTCAGGTGCTGGTGTGGCTTCGGGTGGTTTGTGCTCAGCTCCCAGTAATTTCTTTCTCTGCTTATTTCATTTCAGCAAAGCCCTTTGAGAGTGGGCAGTACCTGGACATCTATGGAATTACAAGAGACCAGGCTGGGGAATACGAGTGCAGCGCAGAAAACGATGTCTCGGTCCCAGACGTGAAGAAAGTAAAAGTCACAGTAAACTGTAAGTCCTCTTGTTTCTTAATCTCAAATCCAATGAAGAAGAGGGATGTGGTTGAGAAGAAAAGTCTAATGTGGTAAACTGCTGTTTGTGGTGGAGCTGTAGTTGGTGTTTGGGTTACAGAAGGGACCTGTGTTATTTGATTGATAAGTTTAGTCTTGCCAAATGAGGGTAAAATAAGACAAAGGTTAAAGCTCTCTTTTTGTCTGCTGGGGATAGTGGTGTTGGTGCAGGCTTCAGAGCAGGGTCTCTCACTGGACTGTGGTGATGAGATGGAGGTTTTGGAGACTTCTTTTGAGTAATTGTCTATGTGACTTCTGAGGACTGCTGTGGTGGTTGGGCCACAATCTGGTTTGATTTGCCATGCTTGTGCAGGAATATCTGGAGATGAGAAGCTTCTTGAGATGCTGTTTGGGTGATCAGATAGTGCTGAATCAGCGTGGAAGTTTGGAATGGTCCTGGTAGAGGCAGCGGGTTGTTTTGTGTGGTTCCCCATGGCGAGGGCAGGAGGATGCTGCTGGGGTTGATGTCCTCCTGTGATGGCCTCGGTGGGTGACAGCAGGAACCATCAAGGTGCCTGTACTGATTGTCACAGCCCATCAGGTCTGACCATCACACCAAAGAGGTGTTTCCAGCTGGGGCTGAACTTGGTTTAGTGCTTGCTGTGGTATGAAACCTTCAGAATAGTGCTTGTTTTTCCTTCCAAGCTGCAGAAAACAAATGCAAAGGGAATGGGGATAATTTCTCTCATTTGTTCCAACACTGGATTTTATGTGAAGTGCAATTACCCAGCTTGTAATTTGTGACAGTTCCTGCTTGGAATTTTGTTGTGTCTTTACTGGCTGTAAATCTTTGAGGTGTCGCTTTGTGCCTCCCTCCACAGGCACTGTCCCTGTCAACATCCTATAGGCAGTGAAGCTGCTTGTCCCAGGTCCCTGCAGGGCTGGTGGTGGGAGATGGGGCTAGCTATGCTACCTGGGCATTTATGGGATGCTCCCATGTTCAAAAGCTGAATGGCCTGTCCTCATTTACATGGCACCAGGGTACTTGTAGTCTGTGCTGTCCTGCAGCATGGTGGGTCAGTGCACTGATGCTCATAGACCAGCTGGACCACGCACTGGGTCTCACAGGCAGCTCTCCATGCTGCTCAGTCACACAGGCTGGTGGCACTGCCTGCAGGTGCTGAGGCTCTGACACCATGTGCTGTGACCATCAGGTGCCAGCCTTGTCTGCAGAGCAGCTCAATGAGGCTCACGTACAATCCATCGCTGTTCTTGCTGCTTCTTTGTCCTCATTGACATGTTCCCATCTATATCAGCTTTGCTGAGCTACCAAGGCAGGCAGTGCTCTGAAAACCAGGGGCTATGTGGGAGGAGAAACCACTGTGGAGGGTGTCCTGTGGAACAAGTGACTTACTTTTTGCACAGTGTATTGATACTGGTAGGTTGTCATTAAGAGAAGTTGTGCAGTAATTGGCATAGGTGTGCCCTGGGGGTTTGGGGTGACACATCTCGCACAAGCTGTACTCACTCCACCATGGTTTGTGCTGTTAGGTAGGTAACCTCCAATAAGGAGCAGAAGGACTTGTGAGCTCAGTCTGATTTCAGGAAAACAAACGTTGCAGCTGTGTTACTTCATACCACAGGGATTTTAACAGGGTGAAACTGCCTCTCTTGGAAGCTTTGTAGCGCTCACAAGAGGGAAAAGTTGGTAAGTCTGCTTCATGGGTGTTTGTGGTTTTGAAATAAAATCCCACTATGTGGTAAACTCATGGAATCTCTTCTGAGCCAGGATGCAATGTGCAGGTGTCCTAGTTTGGATGCAAGCATCAACTTAGCTGGCCAAAGCCAAAGATCAAGCATAAATGCAACAGTCTCTGATGTGCCATTGATGTGCACCCTGCATCCCAAGCCATGTCAAAGTTGGAACGTTTTCTGGCTTCAGTTCATGGTTATCTTAACCTGAGGTTTGAGCCTGTTGGATGTCTGTGGGTGGGAAAGGTGACTGATGGTGCTGGGAAGGTGAAGCAGATACTTGAATGAAGTGTCCAAGCTAAGCTTTGTCCCAGTTCAGCTATCTAGGCTAAACTGGAAGTGTCCGTGCCCATGGTGAGGATGCATGTGGTACTGTGTCAGATGCAGGCAAACTTCCAAGTCTGCACTGGGGATATGCAGAGTATTTTGCTTTTAGGATTTCTTACAACTAAAGAAGAAAATGGAGAGGGGAAATAAAAGTGAAGCAGTGTGAAACCAGGATCTGGGTACAGCACGGAGCAGTTTGTACACATGAGCAGTTTGTCGTAGTCAGCTAATTGTTAATGTGCTTCTGTTTGGAGCTGTATGTTGTCTTCTCGCCAGTTACGCGCAATGCAAAAGCACTCCCAGCATCTGCTCCCCGCTAATGATGCTCATGTGTTTTGACCAGGCAGAAAAACAGCACATTGCATTCAAGGGAGGGTCATGCTGGAGCTGGGTGCTGCTGGAGAGCCTGGGATCAGCCCATGGGTGTGTTGCTCACACACAGCGGGTGCTCTGTGCTGTGAGTGGTGCTGAGCTTTCTTCCAGCTCCTTAGCAAGGGCAGCCCTGGTCCGAAAGGGATGTCATGCATATGATGAGTAGGATGTTGCCTGATTACTGTCCATTGAGGTGGCCTGGCAGGGCAGCTTTCCATCAGTAAAAGCTCGATATTGTATTTAAGAGAGCTGTGGTTTATCTGCTAATCATTATTATTTAAACTTGAAAATAAATTTTATAGGAACTTCTTGTAAAAAGAAGAGAGAAAACCTCCAGGTCCCCTTGTCCTATGCTGAGCACTTTCTTGAACTAAGTCTTACTAAGTCTTGTTTCTTCAAGGGCACCAAAGATGCTGCGAGGGCTGGAGCAGCTCTGCTCTGGAGCCAGGCTGAGAGAGCTGGGCTGGGGCAGCCTGGAGAAGAGAAGGCTCCTGAAGGGGAGACCTGAGAGCAGCTCCAGTGCATAAAGGGGCTGCAGGAAAGCTGGAGAGGGGCTTGGGACAAGGGCCTGTAGGGACAGGCCAAGGGGAATGGCTTGAACCTGCCCGAGGGGAGACTGAGCTGAGCTCTTAGGCAGAAGCTCTTCCCTGTGAGGGTGCTGAGGCGCTGGCACAGGGTGCCCAGAGAAGCTGTGGCTGCCCCATCCCTGGCAGTGCTCAAGGCCAGGTTGGACACAGGGGCTTGGAGCAAGCTGCTCCAGCGGAAGGGGTCCCTGCCCGTGGCAGGGGTTGGAGCTGGAGGAGCTTTAAGGTCTCTTCCAATACAAACCAGGCTGGGGTTCTGTGATTGAAATGTCCATCTCCTTTCTCACCTGTAATGCTTACAACAGAAAATATTCTTGCAAGTAACACGTGTGGCTTATGCTTCACCTCCTGCTCTTGCACCCTTGCTGCCTGACGGACTGCTCCAGAAGCATCGCTGCATCTCGGTCTCAGTAATCCCTGTTTCATCTCTGTATCCCTCCACCATGTCTTGTACAGTGACGTTTTGACACCCCATCTCCAGCACACAGGCCGGTGACAGTCCAATGCTGCATTTGCATGGATATGATCGCTTAACTACTGCTTCTGACACTTTATAGTACTGTTTCACTGTTATTAAAGGGCCATTCTTTACTGCAGACCTGGTTACTGTAGAATAAATCAAGGTTTTATTGTGCCCAGTTAATAGAATGTATCAATGAGCCCTGAGTGGTTACAGTGGATATAAGCATAATTTTGCATATGGATATTCATCACATCCAGCAGTTGTTCAGCCATCCAAGCATGTACAAGAAAATTACCAGGTTTAAATTACTTTCTGAATTTGAAGTTTCTTGGCTGGGCAGCTTCCACCCATACATAAACACCCAGCTTGCTGCCTGCCTGCCTTCCAGCACGTGGAGTTCACCCCTAATGGCTTTAGAGGTTTCCTTTAGACAGTTTCATATTGCACAATCTGCGTTTTCTATTTCATTTATGCCTGTCCCCTGTAATTTTCCCTTTAAAAATAGTGGTTTGAGAATCTGTGGTGCACTCATCTGCCTGAGTTCTGAGAGGGGACAGGAGGGGAAAAGCAACTGAAACTGATGGTTTCTGAAGAAGGAAAACTACCAAATCAAGTTAAAGTAGATAAGATATAATCCAATTTCATTTGGCAAGTAAATCTTATTAGCATTTTCCATTACATTTTAATAAGGCAAATACTGATCTATAGGTGATAATATTGAACCCTACTTTGCGTCTGGATTAGCAGGACTTAAATACATTGCCTGAAACTCTCCATGTGGTGCTGTCGCTTTGCTGACTCCTGGTTTATTGGTGCCACACTTAAAACATGCTCAGGGCAGCTGTTGAATAGGAGACTCTGCAGAAGAGTTGAGGCTGTGCTAAGATGAAGAAGAATGGGATGTGTGCAGCAAGAAATGGGCATTTATTTTCATTTATATGAAGTTGTCAGCTACCCAAGTACATAGCAAATGTGTGCTTCGAAGTGGAGCTGTACTGCAGCAGGATTCCTGGGGTTTAGGTAATGTACGCTAAGGGTCTGGGTTTCTGTAATGGTATCTTGAGCAGCTCTGTTGGAGCTGGGTCCTGCAGACTTCACTGAACTAAGATCCGGTGGCTTTAGAGAGGGGGGAAAAGCCACTCAGTTGAAATTAAAAGACAATAATTTAATTTCAACTTGTATGAACCCCACCATGCTGCAAATTGAAGGCCAAGTTCAGCCGGGCTTACCAGGGAGGTGAAAATTACAGTTCCTGTGCTGCGGGTGCCCAGTTGGCACTGGCAGTGCTGGTGCGGTCTGGTCCTGCCGGGGATGTTGTCTTGGCTGGCTTGGGGTCTTCCTGGCAGCACGGGAGGGAGGGCAGGTCTTCACTGCCGAGCCAGGACACCCAGGAGGTTGCTCTGGCATGAGCTGCTTTGATGGAAATGATGTCTGGTGCAGCCTGGTCTCGATGTGCAGCAGCTCTCCCGCCTCTGATTGCCACAGTGTGCAGAAGAGGAGGCTCATCTGCCAGGCTTTGGAGACAGTAAATACAAACAGTGTAAGGATAACTCATACTACTGTAGCTGTTGAGTCACGTCAGCTTCCAACAGCTTCTTTGCACACGTGTGTTCCATTAAAGCTGGAAAATACTGAGAATGAGAGATGGAAGTGACCAGATTAGATGATAATCGGTAAAAACTATTAACAGGGAAAGCTGTGCCCCCTGAAGCAGTGTTGCAAGTAGATGTTTGCCCAGGCTGTCCATAACGTGTCTCTAGGGATTGCAGCTCCTTGGGCAACGTACATGGTCATAGTATCCAGTATCTGAAGGGGGCCTATAGGGATGCTGGGGATGGACTCTTCATTAGGGACTGTAGTGACAGGACAAGGGGTAATGGGTTAAAACTGAAACAGGGGAAGTCTAGATTGGATCTAAGGAGGAAATTCTTTCCTGTGAGGGTGGTGAGGCACTGAAATGGGTTGCCCAGGGGGGTTGTGAATGCTCCATCCCTGGCAGTGTTCAAGGCCAGGTTGGACAAGGCCTTGGGTAATATGGTTTAGAGCGAGGTGTCCCTGCCCATGGCACGGGGGTTGGAACTGGATGATCTTAAGGTGCTTTCCAACCCTGACTATTCTATGATTCTATAGTACTTCACTGAGCATCTGTCACAGTGACTAATGTGCAACCACATTGCAGAATTCCTTTGAGGAATAGGGAACAGATCAGTCTTGCCTTGAGATCTCTTTGGAGACATCAGACATGTGCTCTCCATGTTCACCTCCTTATGTCCACCAGCCCTAATTCAACTCATCTTTACTCTTGGGTCATGTTTTCTAGGGAATTGACTGAATGTTCCTTTCCCACAGCTGCCTTGGTGTAAAGGAAGGGCTTTCTCAAAGGAGGTATTTAAAGCTGAGCTAGGATGC